TCATCTCTCCTGCTTCTCCTCTTCGTCTTTCTTATTCTGTTCTCTCTTCATTCTCTTCTCCTCCTCTTTTTTCTTATAAATTCCTCCTATTCCTCTTCCTCCTCCTTATCCTTCTACTCTTCCTTCTTCTTATTTTTTCCTGCTCTTTCTCACCTTCTTCTCCACCTCTTATCCTTCTCCTTCTCTTTTCTCTATCCTCATCCTCTTCCACCTTCCTTTCCTCCCCCCTTTTCCTTATGCTCCTTCTCCCCCTTCTATTTTATTTTAAAAAACAAACACCACAAGAGATTTTCGCTTATTTAAGAATGAAAACATCGATTTATTCCACCATAAACATAACATTATAAAAATGATCGTTAAACAAACTTCCTCAAACGACTCCAGTAAAAAGAAAAAAAAAAATTAATTAAAATTAATAATAAACATGCCCCTTGTAGTATGTATATTAAAAAATAAAGTTTAATAAGACGTTTTATTACTCAGTAAATTAAGCTTAAGATCGAAATTTATAAATCTAAATTAATTCTCTTTCACCATGTACTTGATTACATAGAAGAAAGCATATTTTATTATTAAATTTGTGAAAAAAAAAATGTGATGATGCTCTGCTATAGAAGAAAAAAGCTGCTTATAGAAGACATTTTATTTTATTTTATTTTATTTATTTATTTATTTATTTTTGTATGAATAATACAATAGAGGAAGGATAGAATGGAAGAAAACAAAATCGAAAATGAATATCCAGACAGGTGACGACAGTTTTCGTCTAGAGAAGAAACAAATTTAGAACTTCTTTCCTATTTTTATTTTATTTATTTATTTATTTTTTTTCCTTTAGAAATATCTGTTTGAGTTATAATATATATATATATATCCTGAGAATTTCTGACTTCAGAAAATCTCAGATTAAATTTTTTTTTCTTCTTTTCTTATTGGAATAATTTTTGAAGTGGAGAATAATTCGTTATTTAAAATCAGTATTTTCTGAAGTTTTGAGATTAAAAAAAAAGAAAAAAAAAGACGAGAAAAGAAATAGATAAAAGGAAAATTTTATAAATGAGATTTTTCATATACAAGACTTCACTTCGCTCCTTATAAAAATATGTTTATAACTTTTAAAAGGTGCCATTTATATGAATGAGTATTTTTCTTTTTTGGATAAAATTCAAATATATTTTGATTAAAAATGACAGTTTAATTTCCCTGATGTTATGGAAAGTATGGCCATCGGTCAAAAAATAACCACCCCCTCAAACAGTTTCGGAATCAGAAGATCTTGAAATGTCGAGAAATGCAAAAAAAATTAGGGGGAGGTTTTCTCTATGTGGATGGATGTTAGTGTGTGTGAGGGGGGCGCACGATTTTATTCACCCAATTTGAAGCTTAATAACTCCCGTGCCTTTTGTCGAAAATTTATGAAATTTCGCAGGGAGATTTGTGGATTATGGGCATTCATGCTATTAAATTTTGGTGGTTAAAGATCGAGGGGGTTGGGAGATAGAGCGGGTCGCGTGTCATATGTCGAGTGGAGTTAAACTTAATGAAATATTTTACTCGTTATTAATATTTACAATTTTTTATAAACTCCTCTCTACCCTCAACATCTTGCCATTTTATAGAAATTTGGCTGCAATTTTCAAAAATTCAGCTGCAAATCCTTCCCGAATCTCGAGAACGGAGTTGATGAAATTTGAGAATAGATATGGAAAGTTTAGGGCAGGAAACTTCGTTTAACTATATACGAACTTCCGGTTTGCACCGGAAATTACGTTATTTCAATTCAAAAATTTTCCCCTGAACGGAGTTAGACAGATGATCGACATGACTCTATTGTTAACAGGAAAAGTATGATGTACCGTACAGAGGCAGGACAATACTAAAATTAAGAGCATGGTGACGAAAATTTTCAGCCTGGCATTATGACAACATCACAATAAATATTTGTTTATTAATAATATAAAAAGTTTTGAAATCAAATCTCGTAACATAAGTCACACACAGTTTTAGCTGGTTTTTGCCGGAAAAGTTATACAACTCCTTGTCTAATCTTTTTTCTATTTGGTATGAAGCTTTGAAAATTCGAAAAGATAACTGATGGGTTGTATATGATTCTGGCCTAGCTTTTGTTAAAAATTCTCACCTTTCTGATTTACAATTTGCATTTTGTTTCGTTTGAATGGGTAAACCATTATAGATTATTGAAGCATCACGTGATATTTATAAAGATGTTTATGTAATTATAATGACAATATTGAAAGAAATTCAATTTTTGTAATAATTTGTTTAAATTCTTTTGTTGGAGAGTTGTTTACACAACGTTTAAATCTATTAGACGTAAGCAAACTTCACAATCTATTCAATGCAGGAAATTTCAAGATAATAGAAGGTTTTACGTCGAATTTGCATAAAAATTAGATATGTTAAATAGGCATAATAGGCAAAATACGAGGCTATAAACATATAACATGAATAAACCTCATACTCTCGTGTCTACAGGGCTGGATAAGAACTTTTACAGGCCATAAGCACTTAATAGATTAGCTGCCCCCATATACTGTACATGTAATTAAAAATATTATATAGAAACAATAATAATGACACTAGCAAATACTTTAATTTTTTTGTGGTGGTCACTTTTTATAGATCCTAATTTAGCTCTACCGTTAAAGTTTTGCACCATATGGTCCATGGTCAATTAGGCAATGAAAAATTCCTGTGAGGCCTTATACCTTGATGCCCTAACACGTGCTTATTTTGCTTAATTTAGGCATAACTTCAAATTAGGAATTACATAAATTGCGGCCGTAAGCTATAGCATACAAGAGGCCCTTTCTTTTTTACCAAGTAATAATGTATAATAAATTTCTGAGAACGGAGCGAGATCTCTAAGCATGAGGCTCTAAAAATCCCTAAACATAGTAAAGAACAACTGTATTTAAAGGAAATATCTAAAACATATATCATTTTATTCAGGAGTAGGATAAAATGCATCTGTTAATTCGTTAGAAAATTTCGTCATCCATGAAACTTTGTACGTTTTTCACGCGTACGAGAAATTCCTGAAGCTTGTTTAGATGGAAGAAATTACCATTAATTCTGTTTGTTTATAAAAATGCTAATGAAATAAAAATTAATGCAATCTGCGGTATCTTTTAGTAACGATAAATGAAGTGAATTTACAAGTGAGTTAAGTGGGAAGATAATTAACGAGCAGATCACTTGTGAACGTGTCTGGAGACGTTAATACGTCCCACAAGTCACTTAATTGAAAATCCTACTGACATCATGATTAAACAGAGAAAGATCTACGCAAATACTACTTTAAAAAAGAAAAAAAAAAAATCATTAAATTTCCTTCTTTCCTCAATAAGAAGTCGCCATTTTGGAAAATTATATCCAAGAGAATAAACAAATGATGATGTCGATGCAACAAGAAAAAATATACTTAAACTCTTGGCATATTGATTTTTATTATTATAAAATGTGTTTTATTGGCTCCAAAAGTATTAAATCAACAGCACAAGGTCCAAATTTTTAATGCAACTTCAAAAATTTAGCGTAAAGTCTATGCATTTTCAACCAAAAATTAGAATTAGAAACGTTCAAAATTATTTTAAAAAATTAGAAATTTATTTAAAAAATTAATTTCAATTAGTAAAAGGAATCGGTAATTATAAATTAGAAAAGAAAAAAAAATAATAACGGCGACTCTTCTATTGGATTATCAGAAATTTAAATTTTTAAAAGACGTCATAATATAATTATGACGTCTTATAAAAATGAAGACGTTTGCACTGATTGGATAATTAAATAGATTAGAAAAATTAAAATAATATCGTAATGATGTTTTTAGTGAAATCTCTTGCTGATTGGGTAATTATAAAATTTAAATTTAAAAAAACGTCATAATGTAATTAATGTCTTCGAACCGATGGAGAGAAATTTGTAGTACACCTCCACAGAATATAGTCCTTTATGAATTTAATAAATTTTTAAATTTAAACGTTAAAAATAAGTTTAAAAATATAATTTTCTTAATTAAAAACGTTATTTCTATTTGAATATAATAAGCTTTATTTTTATTTTTATTATTATTTTTTTAAATGGTGACTGTATAAGTGATACGTCACTCTTTATGATTCAAATCTACGATCGTTGATTGGTTGGTTCGAATTTTAAAACTTGATGCAATTCAAATTTGAAATGCGTCACGTTTTAAAATGAAATACGAATATTTAAATAGTAATTAATTAAGTTTTAATTGATTAATCTTAAGGGGGGAAGAGTAAAATTAAATTTGGAATGTGCGTAATTTCGCCAATTTTATTCACGTTGAAAGAAATTACAGGAGAAAGCTAAAGCCAAACAAATTCTACTTTTTTCGTCTTAAAAAAGCCGATTTAATTTTTCATATTAGCAGCTCCTCAAAATAAAAAAACAACCTAATTCGAAAAAAGAAACCATCTTCTGATTGGCTAATTTCAAAAAAAAAAAAAAAAATTTGACGTCAGTTCTTAAGTGACTTCACAGAAGCCGAATCGTATCCAGGAAATCCGACTTCTTCCACGGGATATAGTCCATAATGAATTTAACTTCAGCTAAGAAACTAGAGAAAAAGAATGAAAGAAAATATAATTCTCCAATTTTACAAATAATTCGGTAACGTATTCGCTAAGTAATACGGGTCAATTAGGTTATAAAATACACAAACTCGGCCGGCAGGATAGTTTACGATTGGTTAATTATAACGGTTGAAAAATTCAAAAATTCGGGAGGAAAAAAAAATACAGATGAAAAGAAATTAGCAAAGTGCACGCAACAAATTTTATCTTTTCGGTTATAATTTTCGTTAGATAGGATTGTAGAACATATCGGAAAAATGATTAAGTGCAAAAGCGATAACAAAATATCAGGTTATACAATCCAATGACGTGTGTCCATCCTCACTACCGACCACCCCTGTACTGATCAATATAAACAGCCAGATCTGCTCAAGTCTCATGCACAGTCAGTTGGCCTGCTACAGAGCTCTTTCACTCTTTCGGCCACCAATCTCGCAGCTCAGCTTTCTAAATAGACGTGTGCACGTATACATGTATAGAGTGATGTGCAACATCTCATCCAATGTTCAATGACGTGGGCACGGTCGAAAATTGCGTTAAAGTTCATATCTTGACCGTAAAAATAACCTAGGTGATTTTTTTCTTCCGAACAGTTTTTATTTAAAAAAAAAAGAAAAAAAAGGAACAACATGGCATCCGTGGTTCCATCTTCCAAACCCTTCATAATGCATTGCATGATGATGATGTCGGTTGTGTTTCTCGTATCTTGCGTTACGTCAACGGTACCTTCGATGACGTTCGAGGCAGCTTTCCAAGGTAGGTGCAGACGATTTTTAAGTTTGACGCGTGTGAAATTCCCTTAGACGTAACCCCCCAAAAAATGGTCGGATCGGATAATTCTCATAAGTTGTCTTTTGACGTAACTATAGCAACGTTCGTCAACCTTTGACGTCACCATTATGGGTTCCCTCAATCGTTTTCATTCGATTTTTGCTTTCTCTTACTGATTTAAAACGCTTGGTTTAAATAGCAATGCTTGGATTCTTCCTCCATCTTCGTCTTTAACCTTGGCACGAGCCGAACTAATTCGGTCGACCCCCTGCCATTCTTGCTTTCCCGCATTACGAGCGAGAGAAATCGCGTCACGTGACGTCGTCTTTACACGTGTGATTCTGATGATGAGAATAAATTACGTATCGATCAGATAGAGGGATGGAAATCCCTTATATCAATTTTTCAGCTGCTGATGTCGATAATGGATGAGTCATACCGTTCGGGGTACTCTTAGTTGTCCAAATTGGTCCGTTGCCCATCTGTTGTTAGTCATTCATGTAGTCATGTAACCGTTCCACCTGAACATGTTCGTTATTACGTTTTAATATCCCTCCCCGAATAGGGCATCCTTCGTTGAAATTTCTTCACGAAAATGAGACACAATTCCATTTTTATTTTTTAAATTTAAAAATGAATATTTAAAACAGGGATTTAATGTCAGGGAAATTTAATAAAAAATTAAGGAAATTATCTCTGGAAATTCCCTAACTTTTGTCAATCGAATTAAATATACTTCATTCTTAATAAGCCGCTTTGTGAGAATTATTTGAAAATTGATCAAAATATTGCAGATTTTTAAATAGGGAATTTTAAAGTTTTTAGGGAAAATGATACTGTAAATTTAGGGAAATTTTAGAAATTCCTGGACTTTTTAAAGAAAATTTAGTTAGAAATTATTTTAAAAGTATTTCAAACAAATTCTCTTAATTTAAGGAAATTTAACTTTAGTGGATTTAATTTAAACGAGAGGGAAAATTTAAGAAAAATTTCCCTTCTTAAGGAAATTTACTTACCGAGGAAATGTTTAAAAATTGAAATAATATAGCATAATTTAATAAGTAAAATATTCAAAAGTAGGAAATTAATCTATTAATTTTACCGAAATTCAGTTAACAGATAAAACAGTCGTTATTAGAGAAAGGAGGAAAAACCCTACAAATTCCTCAAATGAAAGAAATTTACAATACCTATCTTAATACGGATATTCCCTCAGTTAGGGATTTTTTAATCCAATTAAAATACGTAACAGGGAAATTTCCTGGAATGCGCAGAAAATACCCTAAGTATTAAAAATAATTTCTTTTTAACAGGTTCATAGTACTTTGTTAAAAATTAACATTAAATTAATTTAATGGAGTATATTTTTTAAAATAGAATTGTAAAGCCGAATAGCTTAAATTAAATAATTTATCGGGAAAACGTGGAACAATTTTCTTCATTCGTTCTCTCAGCAAAGGTGCTTACGGCTCCACTTTTAAGCCCCGAAATTTAACGACTGGGCAAATGGCACCAGTTTACGACTATCGAGAAATTCGTACTCCTCGCTTAAAATTTTTTGCCATCAAAAACCATTTTAAAACCAGATTTCTCGACTTCTTGCCAGATCAGGAAATCTCGGGCCACCTCCATCCATCGGAACGCGACAACCAGAAAAGACGGGTGCCTTTAGGGGGTGAAAATCCCTAAACAATTAGTTTCTTTAGGGGGAAAACGTCCGTTCTGGTTCATCTTTTCCCTCTCTGATTATTTATTTCTCTAAGTCTTCTTTTGGGGTTTTGAGCCATTTGATTCGACAGTACAACTCGAAACGCTTTAAACACAACAGACACTTATCGATCGATTACTGTCATTCCTCAAGGGGGTGTGCAGGTCTACAGGAGATACGAGAACGGTTTGCATGACAATACCGTAGGAAATTTTCAAGTTTAGTTCTTTTTTTTTTAGAAAATAATAAAACTATATCTCTATCGATTGGGTCATAAATTATTTGTTTACGTGTATCTATAGTAACGTTACGGCATATAACAGACTTACTCTTCAATAATGGATGATTACCGAAGAGAATAACCTTAGTAATAGGGAATGGGCGGGAATTTTATGTCATTTAGGGAAGAACTTTTCTCATAAGATTAAAAGAAAAAAAAGACTGTTCTTTCTATATCGAGTAGTTAGTCACATGGCTGATGATGAATTCCAAACTTAATCCACTTCCAAACAATTGATTTTGAAACGTATCCATTTTGTAGGTCACGCGACTGGATCAGCAATTACGTTAGCGCTTTCTTTTCTTTTTTTAAATACAATTATTATATCTTAAAATGGAATTTAAATTAATATTTATAGGGGGATGTATGACCTTATCAATAAGTGAATTTTCTCGTGATATTAATAAATTTAACCGTTTTATAATTAAAATATTGATATGAATGGGATGTTATGTAATGGAATTTTTATTAATATTAAAAATTCCCTCGAATTTCTGAAGTAGAATAATTTACAAAAAAAATTTTTCTAATAAATAACCTGTGGTATATGGTTTGAAGGTTTTGGTGGTTTAGTGGTTATTGCGGCACTGGAGTCTTTTTAATCATTAATCATTTTATTTATTTATTTTAATTTTTTTATTATTTATTTTGAAGTTCGGGAGGGAAGAGAAAATATCAAAAGAAACATGTGAGATGAAACAAACTTACACTGATTAAATGAAAAATAAATAATCGGGTTAAAGGGCTTGCTTGTGCTTTACTTAGAGATGAAATTTTATTTTATTTTTTTTTATTCGTGTTTCCTTACTCTCTCTATTTATTTAATATTGTTAAATCGAACGAAGTTTGATGTACGAGTTAAATAAATACGAAGTGAAATTGTCGAATTCATTTAAACTTCAAATTTATTTTTTTAAAAATTTTTTTCTGTTTGCATTCTTTAAATTGGTTTTTTTCTTCTCCCCCTGTAGATTTTGAATGGAGTAAGATATTTAACTGCCCGTATTAAAAGGGAAATTTCAATCGTTGGGTATACATAAAGGGAATTTTTAACAGTATTGAAGCTTAATATCTTTGTTAAGATTGTAATTGCTAGCGAAAAGTCATTCTGGTTAAACGTCCAGTCAGGGAAAATACTCCAAATACACGAAATTTTAGGGACATTTTAGGGATTTTTTTAAAAAAATATTTGATTCGTTAGAATATTTAATCGTTTAGGAAAATATGCGAAAGAGCAAACAATAAAAAAAAATTAAGCCCTACATTTCTAAGAAACGGGGAATTTTTATTAATTAAAAAATGGTAGGGAATGTTAGACATCTCGAGTATTTAAAAGAATATTAGGGATTTTTAGGATATATTTAGGGGTGTGGGGATTTTTGAGGAATATTTTAATGATATTAGGGATTTTTAGGGATATTTTTAATGATATTAGGGATTTTTGAAGAATATTTTAAAGGATATTGGGAATATTTACAGGCTATTCTAAAGGAAAATGGGGGATTTTGGGAATTTTTTTGAATTGATTTTTAAGGCTTTGATTCTTTTGAGAATATTTTGTGGTTATTAGATTTTAGTGTTAATATAAAGTCATTAAAATTAAGATGATGTTCAGTATATTAGAGAAATTTATTAGGGAAGTAGTGTGACGTCTGGGGAATATGTAGGAAAAATAATTATAGATTATTATTTTTTTTTTAATTTGAAAAATTGTAAGTCATAAAAAATTCTACAATGTAATGATTAGAAAGATAATTACATAATTGACAGCAAGACATTTCGAGAGATTCTAAAATCGATATAAATTTAATATTAGCATGGAAAAAAGGGATATTTAGGGATATTTTTCTTGATAGTCTGGAGTCATTAAAATATTTCAATTATTTAGAGAAATAATCGGAAAAGAGAAAAATAGAGATAATTTTTCAAACTTTTTTTCTATTTTTTTGTTATTTAAGTGTTTAAAAATGATAGGAAATCTAAGTATTTTAGGGTTTTTTTAGAAAGTTGACGATAATTTCAGGGATATCAGGAATCAGGGAAATATCTTTAGACTGGTATAATTTTTAGGAATTTTAGGGGTATTTTAAGGGTTATTTGGGGTATTTTTATGGGTATTTGGAAGTATTTTAGGGATCTTTGGGATATTTTTACGGATAATCAAGGATAATTTTCAGAAATCTTAAGGGTATTTGAAAGATAATAAGAAAATATTAAAACAGGAGAAAAGTATTGATATAAAATGTTAGAAAAGGCGGCTGTCGGGGAATAGGGATTTTTAAGAGGAAAAATTAGTGCCTACTTTTTATTTAAAACAATTTTGTAATATTTCAACGTCTTAAAAAGTTCTAGAATGTAATTTTTAGAAAGATAATCACGTAATTGATAGCAAGACATTTCTGTGCGATTTAAATATAGGCCTAGTACTGTATTGATAGAAGGAATATTTAGTTAATTTTACAAGAATAAATAAATAAAGGAAAATGTCCAGAAAAATATAGATTTTGCCTGATAAGTCAAGTTTTATGATGTTGAATGAAATAATACGGTGGGAAATACTGCTTTAAATTTTATATAGTGGCATAAGAAAAGGAGCATATTAGTATATGCCCCATCTCAAAGGTATATTCCCGAATTCAATGGCATAGAAGGTGCATAAAATGGAGAAGTTTTCAAAAAATAGTGAATCGTTTCTTTCTACAGTTTGATTTTTTTTCGTTCGGATGTTCTTTTTTTGTTATCGTAAATCGCATTTCACACTCCATTCAGCTCTGTAATAAAAGTTTCGTGGGTGAAGTACAGAAAAAAAAAATTCTTTTTAAAATTCTAGAAGAAAGAAAGATAATTAACTTTTTCAATGCTTTAATATCATTAAGAATCATCTAACCATAAGATGGCCAAAAGTTAGTTAACCGTGTATTTCGCAAGGAAGCAGTTTGTGATCTATACGGTGTTTAAGTGAATTTTGGGCCACCCCGTATAAGCATTAATTGGGTA